TGCTCCATAATGTATCTGTAGATCAAAGAATACACACACACACACACACACACACGTATGATAATTTTGAAATCTTATACAGTACATATGCTCATAACCACATAGTTAACAAGAAAACACGGAATTTAAGCGCTTTCGCGTAATTCACAACTTCAGAGGTGGGTACAGTACTGTATATCAATTATCACACACAAATTCGTTCTTATTTTACTGCCAAGATTATATAAAAATTGTATCAAATGTTTTATTTTAGAATAATGTAACAGAGAACCCCTGTTTAACATTAACTGTACATGACATGCTATCACTTATCTGTCGACAACTGTTTAAGCAGGATATCTATGTAAAGGACAGTTCTTGTAACTAAAACATTTATTAGATATGGTAATATACACACAAAAAAGTGTTATTATACACTTATCATTTTCAATTTGTATTCCCAAACTTTTTTTTCAGACTGGATAAAAGTAAAAATTCTCATGAGCTACGCGAGGCTTACGACTTGAAGAGTATTGATGGACTTTTCCCTGATGCAGAGGTTCCGTCTCTCAGACCAGCCGTGACATCCTTCCTCAAGTCCTGCACAACCCTCAACAACAGGCTCCTTATTGCCCTGGCTCACAGCCTCGGTACTGTCTTACGCCGGTCGTTCAAATTATTCATATTACTGTATTGATAGTTGTTCATATATGACAAATCCGTACACATATTTTTTTATTTGACTTTAAAACTGGGAATTATCTAATGATTAGTTATCTTGTTTCCTGTGGTGTATAAAAAAAGAGCAGCAGCATCAATGAGATAATACTGTAATCTAATCTTCTTCCCTTTGTTATGACAGAGTCATTACTGGGCATAGGAATACTCTACAGCCTCAGTCACCTTATAATTTCCATCTCAACTTCCTTCAGGATTAGAAAGGAACTTCTTCATCTCGACTCACAAAGACATATGCAGTGACAACAATATGTCGTGTCTGCGTCTGCTGCACTACCCGCGTGTCCCCGACACCGTCCCGGAGGGTGCCATCCGCTGTGGAGCCCACACTGACTACGGCACTATCACGCTACTCTTCCAGGACAACATGGGTGGCCTCCAGGTCAGTTGTCCTACACCAAGGATGGATCCAGGTCAGTTTGGTGTGGAACATTTCAGAACCACATGGGGAATGTCCTGGTCAGGGTAGGTTGTTCTAATGAGTTTTTATATTCAAGAGTAACAGGCAGCAGGTTTCATGAGAATCTGGCCTATATAAAATTGGGAGTGTCCAGGACAGATAGGAAAAAATAGTGCCAGATATTGATATAGAATTTTTGATAGAGAAATTGGGGAGAGAACAAACAAGCATCATTTTCAAACATATTCGCCAAGACATTCCCTTGTCTGGCACACTGAAGACGGCGTGTGGTGGTCATGTGCTGATAATCAGGTCAGGTCCAGCTGACTGGTGGTCACTTGGTGGTGTTCTGATGCATCCGCAGGTTATATATTGCAATTGATGTTGTCATGTTTTGGGCCTTATTAGTGTGGCTAACAGACGGAGGTGTGTGTACATGGTGACTGGAAGGAAGGAAGGCCTTGTTATATAATACAAGTACTGTATACTATATGTTTTACTACCAGGCTCAATATCCACCAGGTAGTTTACACCCCAGCCACTCCCCCATCCTCATCACACAGCTCCTTCTTCCACTTTTATTACTATACTGTACTGAATTTTCTATTGCCATTTGTTTTAATCATATTCTGGTCCTTACCATTCTTTCTTCTCTTTCATTTAGCTCACATTTTTACTGTGCTTTTGAAAGTATAAATAAAGTGCATAAGAAGAAAAAACTTGCCAAAAATATTATTTTGTATTTTTCTCCCTATCTTGTCTCTCTTTTCATTCTTCATATCCATTGAATCTTCTCGTTTTCTTTATTTCATTTGTTTTTATTTTTTCTCCATCTCCATATTTCCTTTCATTCTCTCTTCATGATTACTCTGGCATCAGTGTTGATGGGGGTGTTAAGCTGGCCTTGGTGACAGTTCCGTCTCCATCAGGTACGTGAACGCGGAGGGTCATGGGTGGAGGCAGTCCCTGTGCCCGGCACCATCCTGGTAAACGTGGGCGACCTCCTACAGTTCTGGACAGCCGACAAGTTCCTTGCCACGGTGAGTTTCTGACTGTAGGTGCTGGCTCTTGGAACCTGGTGAGGCTGATGTATTGTGGGTAGGTACTTGTGAGTGTTACCCCTCCCTTTCCTCCTCCTCGTATTCCTCTTCTTTTTCTAAAGCCTTCAGGAACAAGGAACACATATTTACAATAAGATAAGAGAATTAAAAACCCTCCAGGTTTTCAGGGGAAGATTGCTATTATCATCTTATAGTGATAAAAGTTAAGACTAAAACCCCGAGTTGTTTTTAAGTGGTACACAGACAGCAACCTGACTATGGACTTCATCTGATAGTCAATTTAGGGCAGGTAAAGAGGACTGAAGGCTCTTATCAATTTTTTTTTTTAGGATCTTTGTGTAACTTATTTTATGCTCATTATGCGAGTTATTGTTTTAAAGATGACCGTTTGAGTTGTTAATTCATATTGATCATTTGAGATGTATGATTGTTTGTGTGAGCCGGTGTCATTTTGATTTGTTGTTTGTTGATTGTATGAGAAATTTCATGGCGATTATGTAAATCAATGTTTCATTTTGTCCACTCTGTAGTGCATGAAACGATTCTGTTCTCTTAAGTTAGGTTAGTTAAGAGAGGTCTTGTTGTTTGACCTATAATCATGTATTTGTTTTCTGTACATGTGTGTGTGTCCAGGAGCACCGGGTGTTGATCCCCACAGAGGAGGTGCGACTGAAGGCGTCTCGTCACTCCATCGTCTTCTTCATTCATCCTGACGACCCGGTTCTTATTAAGCCCCTTGACAACTCCAGCAGCTATCAACCAATCACGGCCAGAGATCACGTGCTTAAGAAGTTTAGGCACACCTACAACTACTGATGACATGTTTAGACCAACTAGCTTCTACATTTAGCCTGTTAGTCCAGAGGAAAAGATAAAGAAGCCATGAATATGTACAATACGTAGATGAAAAATTTGACTCCAGAACGTCAACATTAAAGATCAATTTACAGTATACTGAAGATCTCATGAAGAATCAGTATGTAGAAAAAAACCTTCATAGCCAGGAAAATAGACAGAGACAACACTTGCAAGTACAGCATACCAATAGTACTCCAATAGGCAGTAGAAACAAATTATAAACCTGAAGACTTTAGCCAAGTAGTGCAGTGCATACCCAGACAATGAGAGAAGGCACCCTGACATTTCACCACACATGAGAATTGCTGAACCTTACTACACCAAGACATCGTATATACGAGTACAGTACTTAAGTGTGTAACAATATACAGTACAAACTCCAAGTACTGGACTACAGTAATTAAGCCACAGCGACGCCGTTACTCATACAGAATCCAATATTCGGATGTCCAAATCAGCAAGGAGTAACTGTTCAAAACAGCCAGTATATTACACTAACACAAATTGGCTTATTTAAGTTCATAATCAGTTAGTTTATGTAAAATAATCATACTGTACTTATAATTTCAATAAATTACAATATTTTTTATTTAAAGTCAGTAAATGTAGGTAAGGTTGTAAATTCTACAAACTCTCAGAGCTGCAAAGATTTTTTAAGATTCCCGAGTCCCAACGTATTTGTGTGTGTGGTGTGACATGGGTCACCTACTGTAGTGCGAAATAAATGGAGGATGTGGACGTGTACAACATAACCTCTGGCAATAAAGTGGATATGTTCACAAAATCCATTTCGTTTTTATAGGTAGATTTAACAATGAGTAAAAGGGAATAGGTTCCAATCCTTCATTATTCTATATTTTACATAAATGCTCAAAATGAAAAAAAATTGCTATAATAAATAATGAAAATACATAGCACATCATATACAGTACAATAGCACATACTTTACATACTGTAAAAAAAAATAGCTTCTGCCCGTGAATCATCCTATGGGTGAAACCGAGTGCAAGAGGTCAGCCAGCCAGCTGACTTGATAGATGTGTGGCTGATATGCTGTGTATGCAGTGACATCACATAGGCAAAGTGATGCATCCAAACATACATATATTCACCTCCCAGAATAGTGTTCACATTCATGCTCTTTGTATCTTTTTTATTATACTGTAGTTCTATTTGTCATATTAAGAGTACTGTTCTGTACTAAAATGATTTTTCCACAACTTTTTACTGTTTCATTACACAAATCAGTGGCAACATGCATAGCCACCTGAAGGCACAACTGCCTGTTGACACCTGTAGGTAAGATTATGCAGGTGTGTTCTTTGGAGCCACTTTTACTTTAAGTGGAGATGGAAGTGATTCACACTTGTATATCTTTGCAATACTGTGTACTGTATTCAGAGTTCCAAATTTCTGCATTACATCAGGAAAGCGTGTTTTTGTCGATCATTCCTAGCACTTCCATGTTTATCTTTCATGTGAAGGCGCTTTCTGTTCTCTGGGGTTTTACCCGAATGTACTTGCTTGGGCATTGTTCTCTAAAACTGTTTCAAACAATGTAAGCTTATGTAAAGGCAAGGTCCACATTCTTAAGCTGTACAGTAACACTTACAACTACTGTACTAACAACATTCAAAGGCCTAAGAACTTGTCTATCGGCCTCCACCTGAAGAAGTTCAGTACTGTAAGTCTACCTGTTTATCTTGAGCAAGAGGCCTGCACCCCAGGAAGGTTCAACACAACTGCTGATACACTGCTGTCAACTCTATTTTGAGGACTTAATTCAGGAAATACTGCAGTCAGATGTCTTATACAGTATCTACTGATGCAGGGGATCATGTTTTGGTTGCAGCTTTACCTTGGAAGTTTTTCTAGTTTGTCGGACCTTCTTGGAGGACAGCACAGTTGGCTGTACAAGTGCACTAGCAGGGAAGCTCCACTTGTCTCTGAATACTGTACCAGGTAAATATAAGAGATCGGGTAATACTACAACTGTTTGGTACCCACTGTATATTTGTAAAAGGTAGTTGTGAATACTCAGTAACTACATACTTACAATTTCAATAACAAACAAAGGTAAACTTAATCCCCTGTACACTTCCTGTTATATACAATATTTCTGACATAAAATTGAAAAAAACACACAAAATATTTCCAAAAGCTAAAATACACCAAACTTTTCTTAACTTACAAAAAAATATGATGAATGCAAGTACTGAAATGTAACAAAAATGAATACCACCATTTTCCTTATGCTGACAGCTACCCTAATCAGACTGAAGGTATGTTTATGGTAGACTTAAAAAAATTTAATGAGAATTTGATAAGTCAATTTGGGTCATTAATTTAAGCCTACAAGTTATCACTAATGGAGTCTCAATATCTTTGTTATATTCCAACTTCTTTAACAAGTATTGTATGGTGCAACCAAGTAAAAGATTAAGTTATTCTCATGGTATTATTATCATAATCCTTATCGTTAATATCCAGCATCAGCGTCCCTGCTCCAAGATACACACGGTTCTGGGCCTGAGAGATCTGTGGAGAGAAGATAAATAGCTGGAGTATAATGTTGAATATATGGTCATTAGCCAAAGGTTTAGTGTTCATGCATATCTAAGTTTAGTTCATGGCATCAGAGCTCATGTCAGTGTGGTGCTTTAAGGATGAAGCTACTGTTGATAGGTTATGCCAGGTTGTGCAACAGAGACAAATATTCATCTCATGCCTTATTGTGAAAGAGGATACTGTGGCACTGGACAATTTTTACAACACTAATGACAGCAAATGAAGTGACTACAGCCATTCTACATTATACTGGGAAAAGGCCTATGAGAGAAAAAAGAAAAGGAAAGACAACATCTCAATGTCGTTATTACCGGTACAATCAAAAACTTTCGACATGTCCAGTACAGATCTTCAGGATATCAACTAACAAAACATCCAAAAAGTTTCCAGCAATGTGTGATATTTTAAAAATGACAACTTTTATGGAACATGTTTTTCTAGAGGAGTAACAAGAACTAGGCTCAAGAAATACATGATCATCATTTTATTCACTCTTAATTGAATCTAGTACATGAATAATAAAAATTCTTAATTACTACTTCTCATTAATGATTGTCTTGACACTGGGAAGGAGACGGTGATGAAAAGAAGAATAACCCAAATGTGAGATGCAGATGTGAACAATTGTATTGACCTTAATGAAGAAAACTCTTGAAGATAAGTTTTAATTTCAGTAATCTCAATTTCTGAAGTTTGAACCCCAGACTGAATTAGTCACAACACATCTCGGTCACAGTCTAAATGTAAAAGCAAATAGCCAAGTGTAAATTCAGAAAACTCACCGTTTTGCCTATGTTAACAGCAGCTTTGATCTTTCGTAGTTTAAGGTATCCAGGATTCATACTGATTGCATTTCCTAAGTGCACAGAAGTTAAGGAAAAAATATAAATGAGATGGTTCATGGGTTAAAAAAATCTAAATACAGTGGGGTATGCTATAACTAATCTAATTGGTTCTAGAACCTTGTTCGTTATAGCATTCGTTCGTTATAGGATTAATCCGTTCCAGGCCCCCAAATACAACCACTTAACACTGAAAAATATATAAAATTGGAAAAATTTTAAGAAAGTGCATAAATATGCATCTCAGCCCCTGAAATAAAGAATATCATTAATACTTGTAATAAAAAAACAATATACAGTGACCCCTCGTTTAACGAACACCTCGGTTAACGTAATTTCGATTAACGAACTGCCTTCCATAAGGATCTTCAATTCGGTTAACGAAGTTCTTACGAACCGACCTCAACATGTTTTCGCTTGCACTGACCGGGCAACCAGCTTTAGTATCAGTCCGCCAATACATTAATCGGTTCTAGGGCTTAAATTCCTTACTATTTTAGTAAATATCAAGAAGTTTATACTATTCAATAATTTTAAAAGTTTAATATTCAATTTTTTAGCCATTTTAACAATTATTGAACATAATTGAAGGTAAAGTGACTAGTTTAATGCTCGGCATCCAGCCTCTTAACACAGCAAACAGGAGTTAGTCTCTCTCTGTTTTCACTGGAGGTAACATCTTGCTTGACTCTCTTCAACTAAATGCTTTTTTCTGTGTTTCCAAGCAAATTATTGGTCATTTTGAAATATATTTTACATATTGACAATATATAATGCAGTGCAGTGTTGATTTAAAGAAAATAATCTTGAATTACACCAAGAGAGCTAAAATTTTATGGGTGAAATGGTGCCATGGGGTGACTTCTCTTCCACCCCAATGCCTTCTCTTCTTCCTTCTCCTCCACCCCCATTCTAAATCCCATCATCATCATCATCCATCCAGAAGACTTCTACATACACACCTCAAAGTAAGTGAACTTTTCTACCATTTTTGTTGAATTTAGGAAATTTTCGGTGAGCTGGAACCAATTACCCAAAAACCCATTGAAACAATGGTTTCGGTTAACGAACGACCTTCTGGAACGGATTGAGTTCGTTAACGGAGGGGTCACTGTATTAGTAAAAAAAAAAATAATAAATAATTTTTTTTTAAATAATGTTCGTTGTAGGAGTTTCGTTCGTTATAGCATTTTCAATTTTATAGGTAAAACCGTTTGTTATAGGAATATTCGTAGTAGGATCCGTTCGTTATAGCATACCCCACTGTACCAGTATACCTCGCCATATGAATGGGTTAGGTTCGTTGAAGGCCATTCATTGTGTGAATTTTCGTACATTGAATAATATAAAGTGGGGAAAATAAGGCCTGGTTCCCCAGAAATGAAAAAACAAAACAATATTATACCGTACCTAAAAACATGAAAACGGTTCCCCCCCCCCAAAAAAACCCTACCTAACGACTGTAATTTAGTACTAAGTACAGTAAACCCTTGATAACTAAAAAATTTTGGGGCTCTAACCATTCCAAGTTATCAAGGCACTTTCCTGGCACCCCACAGCTGGCATTTGGCAAGGAGATGCACATGAACCCCACAAGTGTGTCTCTCTCTCACACACACACAATAAAAAAGTTGGCAAATGCTATTTATTTTGACCAATGATGAACATAGATTATGAAGTGCACCTCCAATTCAAGGGGACTCTTTAATATTGTGTTTGTAAGTCTTACATGTTTGGCCTGAATGCCCTTTTTAACAAGAGCTGAATTTGGCATGGTTTTGTAATAGAAGATGTAATCTGGGGGGTGAACGTACACTGTAATTTGGTACACTTACAATAACTTCACTACATCAAAAACGAACCTAGGCAACACTGGGGACCCCAGCTAGTGGACAAATAAAATAATGTCAATACAAAGTTATACCAATAGACACTTCCATCATGGGAAAACTATATAAAAAGGATATCAATTTAGCAGCCTCAGCTTCACCCTCAGCCTGTACAATCTTCTGCTGTCTCTCTTGCCTGGCACGCTCCACCACAAATGAAGCTCTCTGGGCCTCCTGCTGTGCTACCTGAGGATACAAACAACAGCGTAAAATTCATCACAAAAAAGGTTGCTTCTACTCTTCCTCTTTTAATGGAGACAGTAACAATGGAACAATTACTAATCATAAAATTAAGGCCTAGCAATTACTATTCTAATGTTGGGGGTTTCCCTGGGTCCTGACCCCATAAACTTATTTAGTACATTACTTGAGTTACCAGGTGAAGTATCACCATAAATGTTAATACGAGTATGTCTAGCAGATTTACTCTTGTCAAAATTAGATATATAGTAGTATTGAAATAAACAAATGGCTTGTGACAGCTTACCTGTTTTGCCTCTACAGCCGAGGTATATTCCCGGCCAAAACTAAGCTCTGTGATGGATACATCATCAAGAATGATGTTGAAGTCTTCTGCTCGTTGTGTCAGGTCACGACGAATCATGAGAGAAACCTGCACAGATAAGAAAACTAAAGGTAAGCTTCCTAAATACTGGATTTAATCTAGTAATATACATTCTTTAACACAGAACTGGAGTAAATATTGATCAAGTTATTTTGGAATGTTAGAGGACATCAAGAAATTAGTATATAATGCTGCTGTCTATCTTCTGCATTCTTATACCAATACATTAGTACACCATGGGAGTTTTAGGGAGGAAATTACAGTGACAATACACCTTGACTTTTAATATGGGATCCTCTGGGGGAAAATGGGATCTGTTAAATGAGAATTCACCAAACCAACACTTCTCCAGGAAACACTCTCACTCTTTATGGGGAACCTTACTGAATGTGGTCTCCCAAAAGTTAGTAGCCATGGGGATTCAGTAATAAAATTCTTGTTATTTATATTTCAGATAAGTGAAAATAAAAATAACAGGTGACTGTATGGATCAAGCAAAGTTGGAGTTTGTATTGTAACATATCTGGTGGAAGCTAGAGGGAGGCATGTCAAGCCTACCCAAACGACTCATTGCCAGGTCAACAGTTAATAGGTACAGTAGTACTGTATAATGTTCCTGTACAATGTTTGAGACGGGAAGTCTAGCGAATAATTCTCGTACTAGCCTTCTTCATTCCTCTACAGATTAATATATCCTGTAAATGTGACATAAGCAAGTTTGCGGATGACACCAAAATAGGGCGGCAGATTAATTCAGGGCAGGATGCAAATGCATTACAGGAGCATCTAAATAAACTGCAGGGGTAGTCTGAAAAACGGCAAATGAAATTCAACACCAGCAAGTGCAGCGTACTTAATATTGGAAGAACAAATAATGACAATGTATACAGCCTTAGCAACATCAACCTAGAGAAGCCCGGACCTACGGCCTAGAAAACAGTGCGTTAATGTTCGAAATAAGGCACACAGAGTATTGGGTTTTATATCTAGAAGTGTAAGTAATAAGAGTGCAGAGGTCTTATTGCAACTATATCTTGTGCTAGTCAGGCCGCACCTCGATTATGCGGTTCAGTTCTGGTGCCCTTATTATAGAATGGATAACAATTCACTAGAGTCGGTACAGCGAAGAATGACGAAAATGATTCCGGGACTTAGAAACCTTCCATATCAGGATAGGTTAAAGAAACTTAACTTGCATTCCCTAGAAAGACGAAGAATGCGGGGAGATATGATAGAAGTATTTAGGTGGGTGAAAGGAATCAATAAAGGAGATATAGATAAAGTTCTTATAATATCTGAGCAGGATAGGACTCGGAGCAACGGATTTAAGTTGGATAAGTTTAAGTTGGATAAGTTTAGGTTTAGGAGGGAGATAGGAAGAAACTGGTTCACAAATAGGGTGGTGGACGAGTGGAACAAGCTTAGCAACTTTGTAGTAAGTGCTGGAATGCTGGAAAGTTTCAAAAAGAGGCTAGATAGATTCATGGATGATAGAGAGTGGTAGTAACTCTCGACAGGAGCTGCCATGCACAGGCCAACCAGCCTATTGCAGACTCCTTATTTTCTTATGTTCTTATGTTTCAAAGGTTACAAAAAGTCCTAGAAATCAATGATGAAAGTTAAACAAAAGCAGATGTTAATCATTTTGCTTCTACTAGAATTTTAAAACAAGAGTGTAACCCCTTCATTGCAGTAGTGGAATGTCACTTTTTAATATTTTATTTGGCTAATACCAAACGATTTTATTCAGCTCAGAGGGGAGTCTGTACACAAATGGTTAGTGGAGATGACACTGAATGAGAAAATGGTGTCTGTGAGCGTGAAGAATAGAGAAATTAAGAATCACCTTTACACTAATGATGTTCAAGTTCAGAATGATCCGAGGATTTTGCTGAAGTATACTATAATAAATATTCCTCTATGTCCCCAATTTCTTTAATGATACGTTACAGATACTAACTACTTATCCATGTTAAAAATTTGTAGTTCATCATTTAGATGTAAAACCACTACTGTACTGTGCTTAAGGAGAGAGTGGCATCAGCTGTATTTGGTAAACACTGTGAGAAACATGATGGATAAAACTATGCCTCAGAGGTGGACGGGCTCCCCCACAAAGTCCAGATCTAACAAAACTGGACTTATTTTCTTTGACAGCATTAGAAATCTTTGGACTATAACTCAAAACCATACAATATCAATGAGCAGAAAAAAAAATCAAATAGGATGCAGAAGTAGCAAAAAAAAAAAACATCCACAGGGCATTACTGTACATCCAAACTTGATATGTTTTTGAACGCACTCACCTGTTGCCTCATGGTGATCAACTGGGCAGCATTGAACTTTGCAACAACAGATTTGAGAACTTCATTGCATATAGAGGGAAGAACCTAGAAAAGAATCAACTCATTAATACAACCCTCATTTCCTGTTAAGAGAAACATAATATTAATCATAAAATTAATGACAAATAACAAATTTCAAAACAATACCTTAAACAGGAACATAATGTTACAGGGATTTTTTGGGGACCCATTTCTACTTCCTGTAAGTTGTTTTAAGCCAAACCTCAGCGAGAGAAAATTAATAATCACGCGAGAACTGAACATCAGGGTCCAGTGAGTAGCACCTCCGACAGCTTACACGTTCCTCTACCGTAAACATGCCCTGTAACTATTGATGGTGTTATGCCTTGCTTCTAAGTAACTCCCACAACAAAAGTACTAAGGATGAAGAAAAGCAAGAGCTTTTACATCAAGGGTTGTGAACACTCTATAGCTAAGTCAAGAAAAAGTAGCAATAAATGGACAAGTCTAGTCACTACTCTGGGGGACAACTTCAGTACTGTGTTAGTATCTAAACTTATTCCATTTTGTATGAGTTAAAATATATTTAATCACTTATTGAAAAAACATTATCCACATGACATTGTTACCTGCCATCAAGCAAATGTGTTTCAACAGTGATGGTGGGCTCTGGTCCTGGACACAGCTTTTCTCATTGTGTTTTTATGATCCTTCGAGATCCATAAACAAAACAAAATAAGACATAATCATAATAAACCTTACCTTCTCATCAAAGTCCAGACCTAGAGTTTGATGAATATTTGGAATTGCTATACCCTGAGGTCTTGACAGTACTCTCAAGGAAATATTCACCATCTGTAAATCTTTGCTACCCGTTGGTGAAGTGATTTTCCTTGGTCGGGCCCTGCAAGAACATAACAGCCTATATATTGATCCTTGTTTAATAATATTTCGTTTGTCTTAATTTTACTGAAAAATCTCTAATTCAACATCGAGAATACAACACAAATTACATTATTCATTTTGGTAACACATTCAGACATCTTACAAGAGGTCTATTCTTGATAAAACTCTTAAAAAAAGTGAATTCAATTAAACCTTCATGAATTAAGGGATGACTGAAGTTCAATCAATACAAATATGATAAGTAAATAAAATATGCCTCTAAAATAGTTTACGATATATAGATAAACAAATATTACGGTAAATGAGGACGATAATTTTTTTTAGGATTTCAACATTACACAGGAAGGCATCCATTCAGGAAAAAGACCAATACTGTACCTGATGTCATAGATAACTGGATACTGGAACCAAGGTATACGGAAGTGTAATCCCTCGGAGTAGATGTCTGGCTGGATCCCTCCGAGACGGCTGAAGATGATGGCGCGGTGACCACCTTCAACTGTGAGGGAATAACACCACTTGGATTATTAAAGGAACATATTAAGTGTGGTGACAGGTATAGAGAAACACTTGAGGGTGAACCAGGACTGTCGAGTGATTTCTATCGAGGATTCTATTGCATCAAAATTCTTAAGGGTTACGGATATCAACGAGTCATGGAAAAAATTGCAAAAATTACGAAAAACTTTAGTCTCGACAACTTTTGGGGGAGAGCCTGGGTAATCGGGGTTTTTGGGTTGAGGAGAAAACGAGTCATCTAACCTAACCAAACCCTGGACCCAAGGTAAGTCTAGCTTAACCTAACCAAACTCTGGACCCTATGTAAGTCTAGCTTAACCTAACCTAACCTAACCTAAATGTTGCAGTAGTTTATAACTTTGGGGGCGCACTGTGTCCTTAAGTAAACTAATACCATGCAATCAGTTAGGTATTTATTTCCATAAGGGTCATAATCACAGAGCATTAAAGGAAATAGACTTCTTACATATAACCACTGTGTATACCTGGTCATGTATACTGTATACTTCCCCTATCCATGTATATCCTGGATCAATGTGAACATGTTTGAAGATTATACTAACTACATGTCTATCTATATATATAAACTGTTAACCATAAAGGAATAAGACAACACTTAACGAGGTGACCGGGAGGCTGCAGACGTCTACCAACCTGTATACATGGACTGTGACAAGCCATAAGCAGCAGCACCAGCAACAGCCAACAGTTTCAGTCCGGTTCCCAAGCCCTTAGGACCCTTGCCAATACGACCAGCGAGATCATTTAGTTTATCAGCCATTATTGTTGACGTAACTGATCAACTCCCCGGCACAACACATGTAACTACGGCCACTGCGCAGCCGCTCAAGGTTGCCAACTCGGGTTTTCACATGTCGCTAGGCTGGTACCTAAAAGTAGCTAAATGTCGCTAAGTCTTCCATGGAAAGTCGCTAGTTATTATTCCCCCCCCTTTCAGTATAAATAAAATGCATTATGTAAAAATAAAAATATTATTTTTTTTAAAGTTTAATGTGCACACTTACCTATTATTCAATAGTAATTGCATCCCAGTCCTCTTGGTAGTGTGAACAACTGTAGAGCTGGAAGCATGTGAAGTGCTTGGTTCAGGTTCTCTTGTAACTGTATGCCTCCACAGTCCCTATCTTTCTTAAAATATCACTAGGAAGTTCATAACTTGCACAACAGGTGTTCTGTCTTTTAACCCATACTTTATTGTAAGAATTGCCTTTAATGTCGATAGTTTCATTTTGTTGCGCAATTTTGATTTCACAAAGTTCATATTACTAAATGTGCGCTCTACATCTGCGTTTGAATGCGGAAGAGATAAGGCAGCGAGTGCTTCAGCCAGATCATGGTAAGGGTTTTCACCTGTCGCATCTCTGTAATTTGCCACTTCTGAGCACAATTGTTAGATGTTTCTGTCCAGATTGTGTGATGCAGTTTTTTCCACTGGAAATCAATCTTGGTAAGGGTGCTAGAATCTTCTGTAAATAAGTGTGCCAAACCAAGTATATCTGATTTAATAGGCTTCAAGCATTCATCGGCACTCAGAAAAGAAATAGACTGCAGCACACGAATGTTGTCAGGTAAGAGTTGACGAAGTTGTTTTATGAGTTCAACCCGTTCAAATGTATTGTCCCTGTAACCCCGTTGCTATATATTATGGCTCGAAATTAGGAAAACTGTGTTTTCATGGACAGTCCAAAAGTATCCAGAAAGTCGCTAGATTTCTGAGGATATCTCTAGATTTGGGACAAGTCGCAAATCGCTCTAAAATGTCGCTAGAAAAAACAAAAAGCTCTAGATCTAGCTACAAAGTCGCTAAGTTGGCAACTCTGCAGCCGCTAGCTACCTCCTCTCTATGGTTCTCATTTATCATTTTATCTAAATATTCCATAATGCATTACTCTTTATTCATTATGGTTATTATATGAAAATACTACACAAATTTTTATAGTAACTCATGATACAGAGTAATTCGTTTAAGATTGGAGGTTTAATATAATATAGATAAAAAGACTAAAGATGGTATTGAAGGTTACTGACATCTAGTGGTTAAAAATATAACTAAACAGTTGTTAGACACCGCTAAGTTATCCATCATCTTCCACATCTTAGTTACGTAGTTATAAGGTTGCCAGACACCGCTAAGTTATCCATCATCTTCCACATCTTAGTTATATTTACATCCAGGTGTGATGATGGCGGCGTTGAGAAGACCATCGTCTGCTCTCACCGCTGCTCTTATAAAGTTTAGCCGCCTTCATATTACTCCTAGACAGATAAATCCATCGTTATTAACACCTACAACAACAAACAACTATTTTAAGTAAGAAATATTTGTTTAGTGAACGGGTAACATCGGGCTTATAATATATCTATACTTGTACTGTAATTTACCTCATTTATCTAAGGTAGTTGTCACCCTAACTATCATTGTATAGTCTGCCCACCACTAATACATTATTGGTTTAATATTTATGCTTTACTTTCATTTTCTAGGACTCTTCAACGTAGAGCCTTCATCCACACCACTGGTCGTGTTGGGGCCTTATCAGAGTTCTTTGATGGTGAGAACAACTGGGGGGAGGCTGAAGTGAAGGTTGGTCGGGCTTGGAGGTTGGATGAACTCAGAATTAAGAGTAACGAAGATCTTCACAAGTTATGGTATGTATGTATAGGGTTTGTGTGTGTGTAGATTTTCATTTTGTTAGTGTTGAATACCTGTAGTTTTATTACACAAAAGTTATCTTTCAGTGATTACTAGCCATTTACATTAATCCCAGCCACAAGTGTTAAGACTTCTTGGGTCCTAGTTGTAGAGCTTAATCAACCCACATGTTCAAGCTGCTTTTTTCAGCTCTTGGCCACAGAGTGAATTGCAAACGAAGTCTTTCATTTACTGTATATTTACAATAGAGATAATGCAGAGTTTTTATGGTAAATTTTTCTTGTCACACCGTTCACTTTTAGCAAGTTAAAAATATATTTTTCTAGTATATTTATGTGTGTTGAGACCGAATATGACCTTCCTTTTTGGCGGAAATTAGCAGTTTTTTTTTTGGCGTTTTTTTTCGTTTGACGTTTTCCGAGAAAAAAAAAGTGGCTAAGCGACTAAAAAATACACAAAAAAACACTAGAAAAACAATAACCAAACCTAACCTAACCCAACCTAACTTAACTGACTCTCACCATATGATGGAATCACCTATTTCTTACCTTATTGGCCTGGTTCTTGTTCGTCGTTGCATTCTGGGATTCTTACACAACGCCACATATGTTGGTCTTTGCGATATTTGCATTCAGTCTTGCTCTTAGTACACTTTACTGAGGTTGGAAGAACACCATGCGATCAAAAAAATGCTATAGTTTCTTCGTTTTTTTTTCCAAAAACTCGCAATCAGCTCCATATACTTTAAGTGACACCCATCGCAGACTTCCATGGTCGGAACTGAACTTGAATTTCAAAATATGAGAGACCAAAAAGAATACTCAAATTTGATTGGGCCAAAAATACCGCGAATTAAACCCCAAAACATTTTAATTGGTTTCAAAATCAAAAAGGCTTTTGATTGGCTGCGTGACATGTACAGCAACGCATGCGCAGGATGATTTATGAAGGAGACGCAGGAGACACGCAGTGTTGCAGGAGAGGCAGACGATAATGGCGGGATGTTAATGGAAGAAAATAGAAAATATTTTGAAAAAGCAATCTCCGTTATTATACATTTCCGCCGGCAATGTAATAGATGAAAATTCTCGTATAATTAGACTTCTTATTCGAATATGATAATAGATTAGTGGTAGGAATGAACGGTGTGTAAAGAAAATAATACCGTTTTTATAATTTCAGATGCAGCTAAAATTTGAGGGTAATTTTTTTCATTCTGCAGAATCAACTTTATCTTGTGATATGTAAAGTTTTCTTTATAGTTTGTAAGGTGGAGAACTACTTAACTACAGGAACTATTAAATATATCATCTGTTGTAACATTGCTAAAATACATATTGTGCACCTGGACACAGAGAAAATGTCCCTTCCCAGATAGTTATCCGTTCTGGGAAGTAAAGAATACTGTAGTTCAACAGGAGAAAACCTTGTACTGTACCATATCTGTTATACCGTAGAACTCTGTGTGGAAATTATTATTATTTTTAATTCTTTACCAGGTATGTATTGCTGAAGGAGAAAAACATGTTGTTGACAATGGAACACGCTGCAAAGGAAGAACATCAGTTGTTCCCCAACCCAGAAAGAATTGATAAGGTAATTGGGAAGATTACTGTTTAAGAGAGACAGGTTCACCTTATACATACAGAAGTCATCACTACACATTAAATACTGTATTGAGCTGTCCCTGCTTAGCGCTTTTCCCATGTTGGACGAGTGTTATAGTGAGTCTTGTAACTACACTACTATGTATTTATAAATTCATAAATGGGTTTTCACACTTAGTTTCTTAAATTTTGAAATAACTTTATATTTTTTATTTCAGGTAGAGGAAAGCATGACAAACTTGGAGGAAGTTGTGAAAGAAAGAAATCGTGCATATTGGCTGTTAGAGACAGGAGAGACGGGGGAGCGGCCCAGTGGCATGGTTGTAGATCCTTTAGGTAAAGATCTTGACTCTTTTATGTTGCTACGGGGACTTGGTTCATAGAAAGGGAATTATTTGTCTTACCTGTTGGGATGGTCGGCTTGTTGTGGGCTCATCTCAGGAGGAGGTTGGTAGTCTCTTTATATATGATATGCATGTTACCACTCAGTCACTGCAGTTTATCAATAGATTACATTAAAGGTGGACCACTTGATCTTTAGCCTCGACAGACTTTTAGTAATAACCCTGTTCTGGTGTCCTGACGCAACAGGAAGTTTCAAGTCAGTGGGTATGTACAGCAACGCTTTACAAGATCAGATTATTTTTGTTGTTATCTCATCAGACTTCTTATGTTACTTTCCTCACAGGCCGTCGTTTACGTAGAAAGTTTGTTGAACACCATATTCCTGTATGGATGCACCACCAGTCAAAGGAAAATATCCATAGAGGGTTTGCTGTGAAGAAGTTCCAAAGGCTGATGAGGGAGAAGTCCTTTTTGGAAAAGAGAAAATATTACAGGTAAGTTATTGCTTTGATGGCTTTTGGTTGAGAATTCAGAATAGATGTCATTTGGTGGAGTTATAAAGGGTTTACTGTACTCTTTGTATGGGGAGTCTGTTAGAAATCACACTTTTGGGTTACACAATAGACCCTTGAAATAATGTGATATTATGCATTTAGTATAGAGTAACAAGACACCCTAAATCCGGCATTGTGTCGTGTATGACCAGAAATATGTACAGTAAATGGACCACTACCAGGTACAATACAGTATGTTGAATTATGACCGAATATGTCTGTATACCCTACAGTACTATTAGCACAGGAGAGAGGAAAGTAGAATAACTGCTGCTGTATCTGCTGGTATTAAGACAAAAATGCTCCATGTTACTTTTGATGAGAAAATAAGAATATCCTCTTTATAGCTGCCCCTTGTACTTTCAAGTGATAACTACACTCCTCATTTATAACTACTGTAATCCTCAAGTTCAGTGTACAGTTAGGTACAATGAGTTTAGCTTAGAAACTGAGATAATATTATAATACAGTATTTTTACTAAAGAGCTGGCAGGAATCATTCGGGAGGCAAAGTAAGCTTATGTTGTTTGAAAGAAATTAGAAAAAGAAATTAAGGATTAGAATGTTGTGTCTCAGTGTCATAATTGCCATAAGTTTAATTAATGTTATGTAGTTGAGGCTTTTATGAAATTTTCTCAAAACATTTAAGAAGGCCGCGAATAGCCAAATCCACGAATATCATTTGCTAACCAAGGGGGGATGGGGGGGGGTTACATGTTCACAGGTAAAAGAAATTACTGTCCCTAAAATGAATGGCTCCCTGTCCCTGCCGAGAAAATGCCAGCAACTTTAAAACTACCCCCCACAGACATTCTTGGGTACATTCAGGGTGTCATCCATGAATTAAAAATCCGCGAATTGTCAGGTCATTTTGTATTTGTTTCCGTAAGGTTTACCCCCCACAGTTTATGAGAGGAAATGAGTGACATTTATTATTGACACTGACACTAGAGGATAAGTTTTATCACTCTCACTTGTTACCTCCCGTAGATCATAATGCTGAACAGTATAATATTTCACACTTCAATTTTACATTTTTAAGTAGTGACAGTCTTGAGGGTGTGTTGAGTGACAATCTTGAGGGTGTGTTGAGTGACAATCTTGAGGGTGTGTTGAGTGACAATCTTGAGGGTGTGTTGAGTGACAATCTTGAGGGTGTGTTGCAGTCTCTCGCATCTATCTTTTCCAGACGCGTTCGCAACCACGTTTGTATGCTGATGAGACGCTTCCCAAATATGGACCTGGAGAAGGTTCAGCAGCAGTACCCTGAAGTGGATGTACAGGCACTGCGTAAACGGAAAATTGCCCGGGGACACCACAGTGAAAACCAGGGTTGAGGAACATCTCTGTTTAATGTGTTCTAATAATTTTCCTGTCGGTCAAGGCTGAGAACGTTAACCTGACTAATTTTTTTTAATTTAAATTTTTTTTTAGATTATTAAAATTTGTTACTGTGGTGAAAAATAGCTTGGCCTCTGTTCATGAAATCACTGTAGATAAAGTAGCGGTGTTATTCTGTTTGGTTCTCTTATCTGTACTGCAGCCTATTAGATAACTTCCAACACACTGTATTTGCTAAACAATACTTCTAGTACAGTACAGTTTGTTTCTTTTCACTTGCTCTGTTTTCTCACTTTGCACATTTTATACAGTTATATTTTGTATTGTAGAATAATTTACACTCCAGTAACATTTTGTAAATATTTAATTTTTGAAATAAATCACTGTTAAAATGTTGAGTCATATTTATTAAAGAAAAAGGATCTTAAGAAATAATATCAAGGAAAAATGACTGGGGATATATGACACAGACATATTTACATTTAATATTTGACTTTATCTTTTAGTATTATGTGTCTATTTTAGGGTAGGACCCAAGTGAATGGTCCTGTGATGGTTATTAACTCACTAGGTTCCTCTGGCTTGGCCAGTTGAAGAAGGAACTCCACAAGACAGTATTAGTATGTGTTAATATCTTTCAACATCGCTGTAGAGTCACTCACAGACTTCCTTAACTCCATTTTTGTTGATCATTCTCGTATTTATTGATTCCACACGATGGCATTAATAAAAAGAAAGAAATATCTGACACTAGATAAATTTTACTAATGGTCACAAGATTATGGGTTGATTGTTTCTCGCTCCTGAACTGTTGTGATGCAGTTTTTTGAGTCTATCATCATCATCCTTAACATGAGCTTGAATAATGTAGGGAAATATTACAAGTGATGCCATAACCCTGGCTGTAGTGATGCACTTTAACAATCATCTTAATTAGCAACCATATACAGTACCAAGAACCATCACACTCAATACTGTATCTTAAAGCATTAGATACCTCAAAGATAGTTGCCTCTTGTTCTTGGAATGCTGATCATCTTATTTTGTGTTAACTGGTCATTGATCCATTGAATGTTAGACATTGCCTACCAGGGTATAAACAATGACAGCAAAAATCCATCTCTGAGTTTAGGAGACCATCCATCATCATGGCCTCAAAATTAGTCCATAAGTTATGTCTCCTGACTCAAGGTTCAGGATGAAGACACTACAGTACACATAGTAACATTGTTGGTGATAGTTATATGAGAGTTACATTTTGATTATTGTATTTTGGAACACATAGTTTCCCCATAACCATTTTTCACTTTCAGTCCTCATGAGTACCAGAAAGTCACTTGCAGAGGCCCTTGTATGTAGGAGACACCTCGGTAGGACACTGGGAAGCTGGAGGCCCCACCTTGTACACGGGACGTCCCAAAAAGTTACCAGAAGGGCCATAGTTACACACATAGGTCTTGCAAAAGTTAAAATTCAGAATGCCATAGACACAAGGGCCATGGTACACAGCCCCACATCCCACTTCCTGTGTCTCTGCCCATACAAGCTGTGGAAAGAAAGGTGGTATTTACCTAGTGTGTAAGGTGGAGGGGGTGGGAGGCAAGGGTGATAAGTAAAGTTGAGGGGATGATGATGGTACTGTATGTGGGTGGAGTATGGCGTGTTAGGGATGTGTGAAGGTGGAGGACAGGGCAAGCTACAGATGGAAGGCAGTGCAGGGTGAAGATGGAATTGTTAGTGAATTTTTTGAAGGGTTCAGTAATTAGAGGGATGTGGATGAAGGGCAGTGAAGGATATGGATGAAGGGCAGTGAAGGATGTGGATGAAGGGCAGTGAAGGATGTGGATGGAAGGTATTAGGTTGGGTTAAGGAGAGTATGTTAGATGGGGGAGTGTATGTGGTGCAGTGGAGGAGAATTTGTGGGGTGAGAGATGTTGTGTGGCATTATTGGATGTTGATAGTCAGTGGTCATTATCATTTTTGCATACAACATCCCAGCTCCCTTGCCGGATAATGATGTTATTTTGCCACATCATACATCAATATCTTCACATCCTTGGTCCATGAGCTTAGTTTCACATCATGATAGTGTAAATCAATATTAGAGAACTTAAGAATATCTCAAACATCAGAATTTAGTATTATGCAAGACAAGTCTGTACAAATTATGACTTAAAACAGCTCTATTGTATAACATTATGCAGGTATCTTTGGGTGACTGATCATCATTCAGCTAAGTATTAGTGGTGACTGATCACATGGGTAGCTACTGAAGGCCATACACACTGTCATAACTCACCTGTGTGTAGTGACCAATGGGCCTGGATATATTTAGTGATTGGTACTTGTCCACCAGAGTCTTCGGCACATCAACCACCTCATCGTAAAAGGATGTAATGGCAAATTTCCATTCCTGTAAAAGAATAACATATATTTAAGAGTAAATACAGTACATGTATTTACTTCATTAATCAAATTACATTAAAAATATGAATTATATATTAGAATAACTTGAGTTGAAATATTCACTGGGATCAAAGTCATCTGTGAGTACAAGAGGGATTTTATTAAAAAAAACTTACTAGCTGAAAACACCTTGTTCTATTGTAAACAGTTTAAACAATGAAAAAACATAATCAGTTCTCATTTTCTTTTGATTTCATTTTGTCAGATATGGGCAGATAAACTTGAGATGTGCTTCATAACAGTACATTATTGGCAATGATATACAGACAAGGTCATTCTATTAATGTTCCATGCAAACTCCTTTAGGGAGGAGGTAATAACACCATTGTAAACATCAGCATCGATTAAAATTCTTTAAATTGAGCACATGATTCACAAATCACACTAAACTATGTCTCCATCATTCACAGTAGCTCAGAAATGGCAATGATCTGCTCATATCTTATACTGTACTGAGCTTACAGGTTTTGGTTGAATGTTCAGGCTACGAGGGTGGCATCCAGAGACACAGAACTGGATGCATGAGGGTCTATTAATATTTTGTGTTCCATATCATTGTTCACATTCTTCAATAACTTTACTTACCTAAATCTTTAGTGACTAATTCACACTTCCTCGTCTCACCCCATGATTGCACTCACCTCGGTGTCATTGAAGCCCCACGACCAATAGAGGTTCTGACCAACAACGTAGTCCCTGTCGAGCAGGTGGCGGCACATCTGGCAGTCATGGCCAGTTGGGCAGGTGTTACTCCACGCCTGTGACACAAGGAGAGAGAGTGATGGGATCTGCTGGTGACTCTTTAGGTGAATTCTCTGGCTGGGGACTCACTACTTGGGTTCTCTTGTTGGTAACTTACTAATGTTTGTCTGAATCAGTGGTCTAGTTCATGAGGACCATTTATGAGTCTCTTGGTAAAGTAATTACTGTTCTCTGGATAACAACAAACTATCAGTATTAACGTTTTGGTGTGAAATGAGACTGACTTACCACTACGCCTCACTGGTGTTAACTCATGGTACAACACTACGGCTCACTGGTGTTAACTCATGGTACAACACTACGACTCACTGGTGTTAACTCATGGTACAACACTACGACTCACTGGTGTTAACTCATGGTACAACACTACGGCTCACTGGTGTTAACTCATGGTACAACACTACGGCTCACTGGTGTTAACTCATGGTACAACACTACGGCTCACTGGTGTTAACTCATGGTACAAACTACTACTGTCGATTATTAATATTATATACTTTTATTATCAACCAAAATGGTACATACCACTATGCTGTACTATGAGCCACTAATAGAATAAAATAATGGTAAAACTTATAGTATGGACTGCTAGTATAGGTACCATTATTCTGAATCACATTGAACCTTAGGTGTATTACACTAGTATGAACCCCTTGTGTAAATCCCTGTCTTAAACCACTTGTATGAACCCCTGGTGTGAATAACTAACCTCTCCTTGATGTGAACCATGAAGCTTAACGACCCAAATGACAGTACTATACCTGAGCCACCTGTGCCAGTTCATCATTCCACACTAGCTCCAACATGTTAGCAGCAGATGGTTGAGGTCCCGGGGAGCCTCTCTCTTCCTCTCCCCGTGCCACCTGCAACACGGCATCAGTGGTAGGTGATGGATTGTGTAGGTGGGGTGTGTGGTAGGTGGGTGGTGGGATGTGTGGTAGGTGGGTGGTGGGATGTGTGGTAGGTGGAATGTAGACCTCTTCACTCATTACATTTTCCTCCTTTGCTTCATCACTGTACGCCTCTCCACTGTATCTTAAACAGGATAACTTAGTCTCTCACTCATCTCTTACATTAAACAGTTGCTCAAAATATTCTTTCCATCTTTCCCTTACTTCCTTTTTCTTCATAATAAGTAAAAATATCTAATAATACAAAATGGATACAGTGGAGTATTACCGAACTTTAACTGTTGTTTGATATCTTTACACGAACTAGTTAATTAACTCCGCTCACTAGTAAAAAGTATATTACCATTTTGTACAAGCTGACGAACTACCCATGTACTGTAGTTAAAACCTGACATGTTTGTACTGTCTCTCATACTCCCATAACTTATCAACAATAACTTACATGGCAAGTGTATTGAACATTGTTAAGTGAAAGATATAATACTGTATTGTACTTTTTTCCTTCTGTTCTTTGTATCACGTTGGAAGTATTTAAAATGAGTAGATGGAGGAAACACTTGAGAACAGAGCAACAATGTTTGGCGACTGATGTCATTGTTTTGGAAATAAGGAAGGCCCTATATGTACTCAAAGATGAGCCAATAAACAGCCTATATACTGAGACTTTGTGGTCATGTTACCTTGTTTCGAAATTCATTGTGCACTTGAAGAATATTTTTCTTCTCTGTATTAGTTACTCCTCCAAACTTGATCCCACAATCAGAGTTTTTTGGCTGACAGAAGGAGTGGTCTGGGGTGAACTTGGCATATTTACACTGTCCATCTTCTTGCCCAGGATCTAAAGAGAAATATCTGGTTGAAACACGCCAAGATCATCTTTATCATCCAGATCTTTTCCACTTTGTTATTTTATTATTAATTCCGTCTGGACCAGTGTTTCCTTTCTACTGCTGTGTGTTTATGTTGGGCATTGACTGACTCACTGAGACAATCACCCAGCCCACGATTCACCTGGGCCCTGACTCACCTAAAGGGTCAGAGCAGGTACAGTTGTTCTTGTATTGTACAGCCAGTTCACTCTTGTTTTTGGTGACCTTCCTGCAGATAAGGTCCAGGCATCGCTCAGGGAAATTTAATACTGTTTCCCCGGCAATGTATTTACCTTTATTATACATACATTTCTTTGTCCTTTTTTTCCTACTTGCTCGCTTTGTCTTGTACCAAGGACGATTCTTTCTTTCTTTCTTCCACCAAGGGTACACAGAGTTCAGATCCCTGTGCTGTGGGTCAGAGGCACTAGGGATGTAGAGGCTCCTGAGGTTGGTGGAGGCCTTGGAGGTTGTGGTGCAGGTACAGGAGGTGAGTGGCTTGGGAAGAAGTATCAGCTCTACGTGCTTGGAGGGTTTACTGTTCTGGCTCACCTTACGTTGACACTGGATGGTGATGCACGCCTCCCCCAGCTCCAACACCACCTGGGAACCATTACCAAGGTTACTTCAAACTAGAATAAGCATACTTGATAAAACACTACACACCTGCCATACAAGTCAACAAACACACACAAGCACACACACATGTTCAAGAATATTCTAGACAGTCAGGATCAAAGATAGTCGTGTCCTCCACTGAACACGGCGGGAAGAACTACAGAATTAAATACGTAAATACAATTTGTTATCTAGTGCACGCAACTACTCGGAATACAGTAATTTATTGAAGTACAGAAACACATAGGCTATATAACAGGCTGGTCAGTGGCGAGGAGGAAAATTAAAGTGAATAACCATAATCGCTGGGATTTTCACCCGAGGCGAGATCTGAGGGCATGTTGGCAGACCTGGCCACACTTATGTTGGCAGACCTGACCACACTTATGTTGGCAGACCTGACCACACTTATGTTGGCAGACCTGACCACACTTATGTTGACAGACCTGACCACACTTATGTTGGCAGACCTGACCACACTTATGTTGGCAGACCTGACCACACTTATGTTGGCAGACCTGACCACACTTATGTTGGCAGACATGACCTGACCTTATGTTGACCTGCTTATGTTGGCAGACCTGGCCACACTTATGTTGGCAGACCTGGCCACACTTATGTTGGCCAGACCTGACCCACACTTATGTTGGCAGACCTGACCACACTTATGTTGGCAGACCTGACCACACTTATGTTGGCAGACCTGACCACACTTATGTTGGCAGACCTGACCACACTTATGTTGGCACTTATGTTATGTTGGCAGACCTGACCACACTTATGTTGGCAGACCTGACCACACTTATGTTGGCAGACCTGACCACACTTATGTTGGCAGACCTGACCACACTTATGTTGGCAGACCTGACCACACGTATTTCAAGGTTTTTAGCTGGGTGGTGTTATAGTGTTGTCATTAATTCAGTCAAGGTTACAATTAATCGCTGTAATTAGGGCGTCCAAGAAACACTTAACTGTTATATATCGAAATGTTTACTGTTAAATGATCCATCCAATCATCACACTCAGTCACTTATCACTGACTGATAAGTTATCAGTCAGTAAACTATAGAAATGAACAGAAAGGTAAAATTGTGTGTGTGTGCGTTTATGAGTGTGTGTGTATGCATGTATGTGTGTATTTACAGTCCCCTTCACTGGTGTATTATTTTCTGCAATTATTTTATTAACATATTCGTGTGTGGAACTTACCTCACCAGACTTGTATTTAATTCCATTAAATTTACACCTTTTGGCTGCTTCCACCTTCCCCACGTCACCTGACAAGAAGGGATATAACAAAGAGAAACATTAACTTGACTTAAGATGTGGGGGTGGTGGGTGACATGTGGGGGTGGTGGGTGACATGTGTAGGTGGGGGTGGTGGGTGAGTGTTGTAGGTGGGGGTGGTGGGTGACATGTGTAGGTGGGGGTGGTGGGTGAGATGTAGGTCGGGGTGGTGGGTGACATGTGTGTAGGTGGGGGGGTGGTGGGTGAGTGTGGGTAGGGGTGGTGGGTGAGTGTGTTGGTGGGGTGGTGGGTGACATGTGGGTGGGGGTGGTGGGTGAGATGTGTAGGTGGGGTGGTGGGTGAGTGTTGTTGGTGGGGTGGTGGGTGACATGTGTGGTGGGGGTGGTGGGTGAGTGTTGTAGGTGGGGTGGTGGGTGAGTGTTGTAGGTAGGGGTGGTGGGTGAGATGTGTAGGTCAGGGGTGGTGGGTGACATGTGTAGGGTGGGGGTGTGGTGGTGGGGATGTGTGGGTGGGGTGGTGGTGGTGTTGTTGGAGTGGGGGTGGTGGGTGACATGTGTGTAGGTGGGGGTGGTGGGTGGAGTGTTGTAGGTGGGGTGGTGGGTGAGTGTTGTAGAGTGGGGGTGGTGGGTGAGTGTTGTAGGTGGGGGTGGTGGGTGACATGTGTAGGTGGGGGTGGTGGGTGAGTGTTGTAGGTAGGGGTGGTGGGTGAGTATTGTGGGTGGGGGTGGTGGGTGATGCTAGTTTAACCCATTTTCTCTCGTAGTTAAATATATTCGTTTTCTTTAAATTCACAATAAATCGCTGCTTAATATCCTTCACTTGTAAAGATTCACTACCGTACATTGTTCAGTATAATTATTGTCCTATCACTAAACCATTGTAACTAAATAGCACATGGATGACAAAATGTATGTAATTAATTCAGTATTATTGTATTTTCTTATTCGTTGTTCTTGCTCAAAAAAAGTTCCTGAGTACAATGTGTGGACTGACCAGCGGGTAGGAGGAGGTAGGTGGCCAGCAGCACCGTCAGCTGTCTCACGCCCGTCATGCTGCCCCTCACGTCTCTCACAACACAGTACTGTACACTCCCTTACCTCACACAAGTAGCTGCACCTGATCCTTACACATAATAGCTACACCTGCTCCAACTCTGCCACTGCTGCACATTACCCAACACTTCACACACGCTGGACACTCACACGCCTTCTTCTATAATGAGAAAGTCGCAGCTAAACAGGACTTAAACTCCAGGTAGTTGTCCAGAACTGAGAGTCTTATCCTATATGAAAGAGACGAGGATTAGCTGGTAAATATTTGTCAACAATGGTGAACCTTGTGTAAGGTTTACGTGAGTCACCTGTAGCACAGGTGTGGGATGGCACCTGTCACGGCCGCCACACACCAGAATTATATACAAAAATGTTTCCTAAGTAATATAAATCATCTGCTTATTAGTATCTGTTGTGAGTTTACTGTAGATGGCTATGAGTTATGTACGAACTATGAGAAAACCTGTAAGAGGTGTCGTTATATACTGTAATTTAATAAATTACAGTATATACACTGACCTTAAGAGTCAGCCAGGTGAGGGTGCAGGGGAAGATGTTTTATGAAGATTTAGAACTGTAAAATTAATCTACACTTCTACAGTAAACGAAGAAACACTCATTGTCGGATGTATTTATTGATCACTGAATTGTAACTTATTAAAGTAAAGGAATTTAAGAGCCAACGCAACGGCACTCAACTAGCCATTGGGGACTTCAGTATAAGGTGACATTGACTGAAGGAATAAAATGACATGACCTTAATAACTCTACTCTCTTGGTGTAGGAACTCTGGGGGACAATTCCTATCACATCAGGTAAAAGATTTGGCTCAGTATAGAGGGAAACAAACACCCAGAGGGTATGGTGGCCAAGTTGGACATCAGCAATTAAATATGCCTTGACAGTGATCTCCCCACCAAAGACTATATACTCAAGACAGGAATGAGGATGGCGCTGCAGTCGTACGTAAGTGGCGTCACATTGTCGTTTGCATGTTTCAAAATCTTGGACTACAGCCAAGAATAGCCATTATATTTCAGTTTAACTTTGTTGTCATAGATACTAAGAAATTCGTCATTTTACTAAAGAAAAATAGTGGATACTTTTTGGATACTTTATAGAAGATTATGGATACGTTTTGATTTTCCCACTGGCAACACTGGAGCCACCATGCCGGGTAGACCACATCCCTGCGTTATTTGTAAGAGGAGGAAGGATACACATCCACATTTTTATTTCATCGGTTTCTAAAGGACAGAGATAGGTAACTTAAGTATTTACTCTCTTGTGAGTTACAGTGAAAATGTGCAATTATATATTGAAATACATTTCAAATCAGAGGCAGCAGCTTCATCAGTCACTCCGACTCCCTTGATACGAATTTGACAGGAGTCGCAGATGGCAAAATGCCATTGACATTCCCAGGATATACGAGAAGAACTGTGAGGAATAGCACAGACTTTATCGGGTGTGCTTTTTTCCTGCATGATTAATAATAATATTGATTATAGTAATTAATGTTATTTTTTATGGTAATGCTAACATTTACATGTATCATGTTAAATGAAATATAATACATGAGTAACCAAGACAACTTGAATTTTTGGTTTTGTTTGTTTATTTTAATAAAGATAAACAATAAGAATGCCTTTAATAGCCAAGAACTCTATTGAAAACTCGGTCATTTATTCCCCAAATTTATGTAACGGCATGAGAGGTGATTCATCACTTGTAGTAATTGTATGATAATTGTGCAAGAGAAAAGATTTTGTCTTTTAATGTTTGAACTCATCTAAGATCGTAAGGCGCTGGAGTATGCATGTAAACATACATACATACATAAATGAAGATTGATATGTCTAAAATAAATGGAATACGTAAAAAACATCACTCATGACGTCACATCAACGTCTATGACGTCACGAATAGCTTTTGGATACAACCAATAGATGGCGCTGTTATTGAGTTATCTAGCAACTGCCGTACACACACTTCATATATATGTTATCTGGAGCTTTTCTATCTTTAGTAGAGTATCTTTGCTCCCTACGTGTGGCGAGAGTCGAACTGTACCGATTATTTTTCTTTGGGATATTAAATATTAATTATGATAAGGTGCATATGATAAATGACACATGTACTTAATTTATTTATTTAGTTTTTGTTTAATTACTTTTTTATAATTAAAGAAATACTAATATAAACTTCAGATAATAAATTTAATGATCTCGGTAGAAAGGTAGCAATTTAGCGTTGTCAGTGTTCCCAAATTTGGCTATTTACCACCATATTTGGCTCCTTTTATTTGTTTTCGAAATTTGGAAGGGAAATTTTAAAGCTGGTGGGCACAATACCTTATAATTTGAAATCTTGAACTCTAAGAATAATAAAATTTATAACTTTGTGGGAATGGGAAATTGGGCGGGCTTTAGATCGGATTTGGCAGAAGCTGTAATTTCTAGACTGTCAGACTGGGAAAACTTTATTTGAGAACTGCTATGAAAATATGCCGCCAAGTACGGTCTTCTCATACAGTTTTCCGTGAATATATGCAGGAATACCCATTTTGCAAAGTTCAAAGTTGAAATTTATTTTGTGAAATGATCAGAAAACTAAACATGAAGTAGAGTTATTCTATAGCAGCTGGCTGCCATAAACAACTTCCTTATTTTAAAAACTAACTCAAGTGTTTGTTGATGAGAATACCGATATTTATTTACTTAAAGTGTTAAATATAGTGTTGGGAGGTGTTCCTGAAGTCAGCAGCTCAGTTTCGGTGAGTACATTAACTTTATGCAGTCAAACATTAACTTTCAATAATAAATATGAGTATTTCAGAAAGCTAAACGTAATACTAACCATTTCAGGGGTGAACATTTTACCAACTCTTTTCTTGTACCCCCGGCAAGGAAGTTAAGGTTAGGTAGGCAAGATTAGCCATCTGCTCCGGGATTACCTAAAAATTATCTATATTTTTACGAGAGTTTATTTAACGAGCTCAGTAAATGCTTGTATCTAACACTGGTTCATGTGTTTACAGATTGAGTCATCAGTACAAGGTAAGTAGACATGTTAGTTTTACACAGGGAAGACATAATAGGCTGCAGTCTTAAACTACAGTATACACATATAAGGTTATAAATAATTCCAGGGCTTCAACATCCACTAATACAGTATTTAACGGTACTTTTAAGTAAATGCTAAAATAAATGATTAAACAGTTCAGTATTGTTTATAATTCTACATAGTAAAGAACCGATTCCTGAGCCTTGCATTATCTGGGAGCATGAGTCTTATATATTTTTGCTTGCATGTGTCTCACTAACACGGCTGACCCGCCGGTACCAGATACCTCGCGGGGGTGACGTCAGGTACTGAGGTAATTCAAGGCTTGCTTCAATGCTTGCTGTAAGGTTATGGGTCTTAGAGTTTTATGTTGCCAGTAGCTAGTTTCTGTTTAAAAGTCTTGATAATTTCAACCTGAAGTGAATGGGTGTGAGTGGACGGGTGTGTGGGTAGGTTTGGAGGTGGGTGGGTGGGTTTGAGTGTGGGTGGGTGGGTTTGAGGGTGGGTGGGTGGGCTTGAGTGTGGGTGGTTGGGTTTGAGTGTGGGGTGGGTGGGTTTGAGTGTGGGTGGGTGGGTTTGAGGGTGGGTGGGTGGCTGAGTGTGGGTGGGCTTGAGGGGTGGGTGGGTTTGAGGTGGGTGGGTGGGTTGAGTGTGGGTGGGTGGGTTTGAGGGTGGGTGGTGGGCTTGAGTGGGTGGGTGGGTTTGAGTGTGGGTGGGTGGGTCTTGAGTGTGGGTGGGTTTGGAGGTGGGTGGGTAATGGGGGTGGGAGTTTGGAGGTGGGTGGGTGTTTGAGTGTGGGTGGGTGGTTGAGGTGGGTGGGTGGGTTTGAGGGTGGGTGGGTGGGTTTGAGTGTGGGTGGGTGGGTTTGGAGGGTGGGTGGGTGGAGGTGGGTGGTGGGTTTGAGGTGGGTGGGTGGGTTTGAGGGTGGGTGGGTTTGAGTGGTGGGGTGGTGTGTGTGGGGTGGGTTGGTTTGAGGTGGATGGGTGGGTTGAGGGTGGGTTGGTGGAGGTGGGGTGGTGGGTTTGAGGGTGGCTGGTGTGAGTGTGGGTGGGTGTGAGAGTGTGTGGGTGGGTGTTAGTCTGTTGTCAGGGAAAGCTTATGAACCCTTCAAGGATAAGACAAACTTACGGGAGTCGAGGGTTCAATAAGGTCAAAGGTCAAGGTCACAGCATATGTTTAACCCACGAGAACCAATCTACCTAAGATCTTCCTGAGTAACACCTCCTAACGATCACACCGACAACTGCACAGCTTTCTGGGTTAGGAAAGTGCAGCGTCATGGTCAAGGTGACGTCGCGTTCAAAAACATTACGTCTACAATAAGACCAAAACAAAATTCTTTGGCCGACGACTATCATGGAAGAGTGTAACGTACAAAACGGCCAAAGTTAAGCGGAGGAGAAGATTAAAGTTACATTCCCATCCATAACAAAGAAGAGATGACTAGAGGGAGAGAGAGCACGTATATACCATTTAGCGCCTCCAGGCATTAATGTCTGGACAACATCTCAGCATTTCTTCTTCTTCATGAACATTCTTGAAAGTATTTTTTTCCTTGGCGTCTGGAGCTCAGAGGGTAGAAGGCAGACTGCTGCTGGTGGTGTGGGTGTGTGTGGATGTGGGGTGTGGGGGTGATGTACCCACGCAGCCGGCCAATGGCTGACAGGGGGGAGATAATTTTTCGTTTCCTGTGTCCTTGTGGGGGAGAGGGAGGACTGGGAGAGTGTTGGTGACCATCAACATATGGGACTGGTCACTGAGAGGAGGGACTGGGAGAGTGTTGGTGACCATCAACATATGGACTGGTCACTGAGAGGAGGGACTGAGAGTGTTGGTGACCATCAACATATGGGACTGGTCACTGAGAGGAGGGACTGGGAGAGGACCATCAACATATGGGACTGGTCACTGAGAGGAGGACTGGAGAGTGTTGGTGACCATCAACATAGGGACTGGTCACTGAGAGGAGGGACTGGGAGAGTGTTGGTGACCATCAACATATGGGACTGGTCACTGAGAGGAGGATCTGAGGAGTGTTGACCATCAACATATGGACTGGTCACTGAGAGGAGGACTGGGAGAGTGTTGGTGACCATCAACATATGGGACTGATCACTGAGAGGAGGGACTGAGAGTGTTGGTGACCATCAACATATGGGACTGGTCACTGAGAGGAGGGATGGGAGAGTGTTGGTGACCATCAACATATGGGACTGATCACTGAGAGG